ATTTTTTGAATAATATTTTATGATTATTTTATATAAATTCCTAACTGCTAGTAATCAAACAGACTTAATTCTGAACTACTTTAACATAGAAACAAAACTTGGGTGGGGTGGGTTTGAGGCATGGCTTGAGCTTGAAATTGAATCAAACGCATGCAACTGTAATTGTTTACTCTCCTGTGTGAGACCATCTGTGGCACTATCTTTTCATCGATTCATGCAGTTCTTTGAAATCAAATCTTCATGAAGTAGTTACTGTTAGAAGTGCTGTTTGCATTGTACCTCTCCTCAATTAATGTAGTTGGTGTATTTAATAGTTAATTGGGGGGTTGAGATGTCAGACGTAGACTACAAAATCCAACTAAAAGAATATGGTGCAAATTTGTCTACTCTGCAGCAAACGTGTAAGCAATGTATTCCCTCCTTTTATTTAAGTTACACTTGTATGAAATATTAGGTGTAGAAGAAGATGAAATGAATGTGAGAAAGGCTGGAAAAACGAAAATCCAGACCTGTGTTTTTTCATCAAAGTCTTTTGCTAAGTTCTTGTTCTTAATCTTCTTCATCCAAAAATCTGTCAGTTACTACTCTTAATAGTTAATACCACATGCCATCATTTTCTTCTAACAAAAGCATCATGCTCGCGGGCATAGCTCCTCTCCTTCACTAAATCATGCGCAATTATAAAACGTCTAAACTAAACCCTTTATTCTATTCATGCCATGAATTTCATGGTACAGTTCCTTTTTTTTTTCTTTTTTTTCTTTTTTGAGTGAAAGAAAAATGAAAAGCAAATATGGACATGACCTTTTATGATCACTAACATATTTAGCCCTCATTGTTCACACTATGCCTATTACATACCCATCACGAGAGTTAAGTGTATCAACTGCCAAGAGATTCGGTGTTTCATGAAGACTTCCTTTAATTAGTTTATATCAAATGCTGCTCTGTTTAGAATGTGAGGAATTAATGATGTGTGTGGTTGTATGTGTTCCCTATTGCAGAGTATTCTCATAGTATCAAATGCTTCTCCATTTAGGATGTGAGATATTGGAGTTAACTAATATAATACCAAAATTTAGAGGAGCTTTTGCAAGAAACCAAACCAGTGGCAAATAAAGAGGATAAATGGACCTGGTTAAGGAAGAAGGATGAAAGATACTCAGTGAGATTTGCCTACAAGCTACACATCACTTTAGTAGGACACTCATGTAGCTTGGAAGAAGTGTTGGAATCCTTTGGTTCCTAAGAAGGTTTGCACATTTATGTGGTAGGCCTTGCATAAACAAATTCCAACTAAAGACAATCTGCTAACTAGAGGGATATTGAAGGAGGATTCTCATGCAATTTGCAATCTACGTGGCTCCTGTATTGAGGATGTGGAACATTTGTTACTAAATTGCATTGTTGCTTGAAGGTTATGGATAAAATGCTTTACATGGTGGGGTCTATCCTATGTCATGCATCGAAACTTAGAGGAGGCTTTTCAGCCACACATTTGGACCAACAGAATAAAAAAAGCTAGTAGGGTGTGGGAGACCATACGGTTTGCTGTTGTATGGATCATATGTCTATACAAAAATGAACAGATATTCAAAGGTATCAATGTTGAGGAGGAAAAATTGTTTACACTGATGCAAACTCGTTCTTACCATTGGATAACTAAAATATTTGGACAAGGAGAATTCAACTTTATAGATTGGATCATCAACCCATGGAAGTGTTGAAAACTTGTGTAGAAAAGTAAAGCAAAAGAGATGAAGAAATGATAGAGCACTTCGAGGGGGTAATGCTTGCTGGTTATAAGTTCATTAATATGAAATATCTTAATATTTTTTAATTTGTGAGGATGTTTGATGGAATTGGATAAAAGTACCTCTTGTACTCTAGTAATAAAAAGTTTTTTTGTTTGCTGTTAAAAAAGAATTAAATACCAAAATTTAAATTATTTTAGAATTTTGAAAACTTTGAAGGTGAAAATATTTTTCCTACTTTCCTCACAAATTTGATTCTACATTCTCCACAAATTTGAATTTCAGTTTAGGGTTGAACTAGAGTGTGAATCTTCAGCATTGAAGCTGAAAGGACTTGTCCAAAAATCTATTCAGGGTGAGAGATGCAGGGAGGAGGTAGTGACAAAAATTTTGTATCTTTGTGAAACCATGTGTTCACCCCAAGTTAATTACAGATGTGAAAAAGAACAAATATTTAAAAATATTTTTAATTAATAAATTTCAAATAATTTAAAACCGTGATGACAAATATTTAACTTTATATTTGTAATTTTTTGAAATATTGAAGGGTTAATTGATTAAAATAGTAAAGGTTTAAACCTATAATCTTTATCCTAAATTGAAAATTTTTAATTAGTGAGTACTAACTCAATTAAATTTTTGTTAATACTTTTTGTTTGTAATTGTATAAAAATTAGTATACCCTTTGTATTCTCATAAATAATAAACCGTTGTTGTTAAATATATATATATATATATATGTATATATATAACTTCATAAAAATCTCATTATATACTAACAAAAACTTCATAAGATCACTTTTTATTTTCAAGTATGTGATAACAAAATCATATTCTCTCAATAAAAAGGTGTTGAGAGAAAATTGAGTGACCAAAATGTGGCATGAACTTCTTGTTGCAAAGGGGATTCAAAGCTTAAAAAGTTGAAACTGAATCACATGCACCTGTACTTGTTAACCCGCCTAACAATTATTGTGCAACTACTGTCTCGCATTATACTTAAACCAATTCATAACCTGTTCACGGCCCGGCCATCACCACAAATCTTATCCTTTGATCACAATATGAAACTGGTAGAAGCGTTGAGAACACCTCCACGGGGTTCACAGATCCTATTATGTGCTCCAAATCAAATCATCACTACAGATAACATGTATTATCCACACAATAAGCTATCTCATTGTTTTGAATTTGTTTTGATTGAAAAGAAACTGAGAATCTAGATGTAGGGCTGAAGTTTAGAGATCTTTATCTGGAAAATTAATACAAGTTTCGTCAACAACGGTCGCAAGTAGTAGGTGTAGCTCCAGAGACCTTTTCTGGCTTGTTCCTCTGCATCTTGGGCTAATCATGTTCCAGAACATCTCATAGCACCTTTGATCCTTCTTGAATCTCTTCCAAACTGAAATATATGTTTTGGTAACACTTATTAAACAAATATAACCGATGGTTTCATTGGTTAACATTCTATGAAAGGCCTAGCTAACCATATTTTGGCAAAAATTTTGACACTTCAAATGGGTTTAAAACAAGCATTCCTCCTTACCTCATGTTGAGTGGAGGAGTCAATCGGATAATAGTGTTATATGTGGGCTTGGCAAGAACTCCCCTCTCTTTCATCTTTAGACAAATATCATATACTGAAACAGGGAACAAACTCCTGCTGTTGAACTCTACAGCATTCAATAAACCTCTTTCT